TGATAAATAACACGTACCAGGTGATTATCTACTGCATCTCAGTGAGGTACATCGTGCAAAAGTCAGTGCCTAGGAGAGGACTGGAAGTGATCAGATGAAAATGGCCCTCAGAACATGTAAGAGCGGAATATATAAGGTGCTTATTTGACTATTAGATGACAACTCCTTTATGAAATCACAAAATCATGGTTATAAAAATTTCCAAGAGCAGCTGCCTTCTTCACTGGTAAGTTAGAAAGCATTAAGTGAAAGACGTTTGCTATTAGATTAGATATCTTGAGAATTTCCTAATTGGTTTTAGATCTTAACAATTTTAGGCAAATAATATGTGCAGTGAATCATGCTGAAGTATTGTTTTCTTTTCTCCAAGTCAGCTTCATTCAAGTCCTCCAAAACACACATAAAAATGGCAAGATACAGCCAATCCAAATATCAAAAGATTTTTAAAGCATCATAGTTAGAAATTACTTTATCCATCTTAATTTCACTAGCAATAGGTATTGATTGCTCCAGTGAAGCACCTCTAATGAATTATTATTAGTGATGTTGTTAATAATTCAATTATTTTGATTGTGCTACTATTTTTTTGACAGATATATCTGCTTGTATTGGAGTCACCAATTGTCTTGAAACAATTGTGTTGAAAACAGCAGTTGTCTCCAATAATAGTACCAATCACTATTGTTATCGGGATTATTAAATGAGATAATATATGTAAAGTTTTAGAGCAGTGCCTGGAAAATAATGATTGTTCAAAAGATATTATAAATATAAAGATAGAAAGCTGTACCTTTTCTAACTCTGCCTCTGCTAGATTGCTGCCTACTTTTAGGCATTCTCTTCCATTGTTGCTGTTAGGTGCCATCCAGTCGGTTCTGACTCATAGCAACCCTGTGTACAACAGAACGAAACACTGCCCAGTCCTGTACCATGCTCACAATCATTGCTGTGTTTGAGCCCATTGTTGCAGCCACTGTGTCAATCCATCTCACTGACTTCTTCCGCTTTTTCCCTGACCCTCTACCTTACCAAGCATGATGTCCTTTTCCAGGGACTGGTCCCTCCTGATAACATGTCCAAAGTATGTGAAACAAAGTCTCACCATCCTTGCTTCTAATGAGCATTCTGGCTGTACTTCTTCCAAGACAGATTTGTTCATTCTTCTGGAAGTCATGGTATATTCAATATTCTTCACTAACACCATAATTCAAAGGTATCAATTCTTCTTCAGTCTTCCTTATTCATTGTCCAGCTTTTGCATGTGTACGAAGCAATTGAAAATATCATGGTTTGTGTCAGACACACCTTAGTCCTCAAAGTGACATCTTTGCTTTTCAACACTTTAAAGAGGTCTTTTGCAGCACATTTGCCCAGTGCAATATTTCATTTAATTTCTTGACTGCTGCTTCCATGGGCATTGATTGTGGATCCAAGTAAAATGAAATCCTTGACAACTTCAATCTCTTCTCCATTTATCATGATGTTGCTTATTGGTTCAGTTGTGAGACTTTTTGTTATCTTTATGTTGAGGTGTAATCCATGCTGAAGGCTGTGGTCTTTGATCTTCATCAGTAAATGCTTCAAGTCCTCGTCACTTAGCAAGCAAGGCTGTGTGATCTGTGTATTGCAGGCTGTTAATGAGTTTTCCTCCAATCCTGATGCTGCATTCTTCTTTATATAGTCCAGCTTCTCGGATTCTTTGTTCTGTATACAGATTGAGTAAGTATGGTGAAAGGATACAACCTGACACAAGTTTCCTGATTTTAAACCATGCAGTATCCCCTTGTTCTGTTCGAACGACTTCTTCTTAGTTATGTACAGGTTCCACGTGAGCACAGTTAAATTTTCTGGGAGTCCCACTCTTTGCAGTGTTAACCACACATCTGTCAGTGTGTGGTACTTTGGTGGCTTGCATGTTATTGTGATGCTGGGAGCTGTGCCACCAGTATTTCAAATACCAAGCAGGGTCACCCACAATGGACAGGTTTCAACGGAGCTTCCAGACTAAGACAGACTAGGAAGAAGGACTTGGAATAATTGGCCGGTGAAAACCTTGTGAATTTCTTTCATTACCACAGCAGATTATTAAATTAATATTTCTGTCAACTCTTTTTTCCCTTCCATATGAAGAGGTAGCTTGTTTGGATGATTTGTATATTGAAATGATAATTCCTCAGACAGAAATGAAGGTCTCTGGGTGGCACAGAGGATTAAGCACTCAACTACGAGCTGAAAGGTTGGGAGTTTGAACCCATCCAGTGGCACCTCAGAAGACAGGCCTGTCGTTCTGCTTCCAAAAGGTCACAGCCTTGAAAACCCTGCTGAGCAGTTCTCCTCTGCACACGTGGGGTTGCCATGAGTTAGAATTGACTCAACAGCCACTAACAACATCAACCACAAGGCAGACCAGAAACCCTTGTTTTACGTTCACCCATGTTCACGGGTGGTCGTGGTTTACCCAGGATGCTATAAGACAACTGCGCCCGTTTCTTCACCCTAATAGAACAGATGTTACCACTCATGACTCCATATCCTTCAGTCCAGCCTATCTTCTACAAATAAATGTATCCTTGACTCCAGATGCTGTTTTTCCCATCTCAGCAAATGTCTTCACCATCTAATTGCCCAAGACAGAGACCTGGGAGTCTTCTACCTTGCAGCTGATCCATCACAGAAATGTAATACCATTTCTATCTCAAAAAAATGCATCACTTAAATCCACCTAATTCCCCCACCCCAGCACTCTCCACCCTAATCTAGCCGCTGTCCCCTCTTGCCTGGACAAATGCAACAGCTTCCTGAGCAATTTTCTTGTTCCCACTCATGCAGCATTTCCGTCCATTCTCCACTCAGTAGCCAAAGTAGAATTTTTGAAACATAAACCAGACCTTGTCTCCTTGACTGAAAACTCTGTAGTGGGTTCCCATCGTGTGCAGAATGAATTCCAAACGCATCGTCATGGCCTGTGAGCTCTGTATGATCTGGCCCCAGCCTGCATGACGCAACCTCTCCAGCCTATTTCTTTCGTTGTGCTCATCTCGCTTTGTCGTTATATGTGTATGTATTTTTTTGTCAGCGTTTGCGTGCTGTTGGTCTCCCTCACTGGTGTGTAAGCCCCATGAGCCACGGACCGTGTTGGTCTTGTTCATCACTCTATTCCCAGTACTGAACATACTGAACATAAAGCCTGCAACACAGGAAGGAGGTGTTCAGTAAAGGTTTGTTGAAGAAACGGGTGAACTCAACCCACATAGTAATTGTGCCTTTCTGTTATTTTCTTGTTGAAGTAACATTTTTAAATATTAAAACTGGTCACTAATAATAGGGATCACTTGTGCACCCGAGAGCACGTCATAGACTGCTCTGCAGGTTAACGGGGATTTAACCTTCTAGACTCTAAAGTCTTTATATACATCAAAATGCTTTAGGCTGGACGATAGTTAGTTTAATTTTTGTATAAATAATCAAACTGGCTCCTTCCTTCCACACTCTATATTCTATTAAGATTTCTAGAATGACTGTTCCAAATCATAAAAGCCAAAAAACCAAACCCATTGCCATGGAGTCCATGCCGACTGATGGCAACCCTATAGGACAGAGTAAAACCACCCCATAGGGTTTCCAAGGAGTGGCTGGTGGATTTGAACTGCTGAACTTTTGCTTAGCAGCCGAGCTCTTAACCACTGCACCACCAGGGCTCCTACTCCAAATCATAATACTCATAAAATGAGAGCTCAGCTGAAAACAGTGCTGTTTCCACCTTTTAAAGTAAAATGTCAATGCCAAACCTACTGATAGGTTATTGTGAATTTCTCTATCACCCGCTATGGGAAGTTTCATAATGGTTTGTGTTTACTGGAAAAACATGTCTGGCATGTTTATGAATGGTATAACTTTGATTATGCTTGGCAATAGTGGTTAAATTAATACTAGGCTGCATGTTTTACATGGTGCTATTTATCTGTTAGGCATAAAAGGGCGCTTTGGTAATTTAAGGTAACAGAACCACAAAGTTAGTGAGGGAAGTAAGAAATATTGAATAAAGGCAATGACACTTGAAATCTATTTTCATTGCATTTTCAGAATTTGTTCTTCATTCTTAAACTCATTTCCCTCTAAAAAGCAAGAACATTATATTGAGAAATAATGTGTCTTGAAAACCTGAGCCAGCAAGCTTATGATCCAAGTGGTAATGACTTCTGTAATCGCTAATGAGGCAATGAAAGCTGAACATCTCAGCGCATTCATTTGGGCCAGCCTCTTGCCTGTTCTGCAAGCTGTCAGATGAAGTTTTTGTCCTGACTCCATGGGCACTTTGATTCCGAAATCTTTTTGAGAAACCTAATCTGAAATCAAAGTCAAGTTTCTTAGATGCGGTCAGACAAGGTCACATTTAAACCAGTTCAGTGAACCAGCAGATCCAAAGTGAACGGTAGTGCCTCCCTCCTGAAATTGGCAGGAGCTTACCTGCCAGCTTACCTTCCATTTTCTAATATGCCTTTTTCACTGTCTTCCCCGTAGCCTGGAAAAATGAGCGTTTATGCTCGGGAAAATGGTTGAAAGGTGTCCTTAAATCGTTTATTTAGGAAATGGGACACCGTTGTAATTTGGAAATGGACCTTTTCCCAGTCTGTGAGTCACACGGCATTTTGTTGAAGAAATTCCTTAATCGGAGACGTGCAAAAGGAATCCTTGCCATTTCATCATAGCAGGACTTCTTCAAGTCAGAGTCCCGTGGTCATGTCAGGTCCCTGGGCTCTGTCTTTGGCATTAATTGTCAGAACTTGCCCACGCTCTCGAGGGACCCAAAGCACCATCCAGGAGTGCCGCTGTGACGTAAGGCACGTTTTTTGCCAATGCCACCTTCCTTCCCTGTTGAGCTTTGAGAGATCATCCAAAATGGTGCTGAGAAAGGGGGAAAAAGTGACTTTTGTTAGGCATGGTCTTAACATCTCACGCTGTGATTTAAAACAACAACCTGCCATTGCTTTATATTGCAGTGTTCTGTCTCTTGTGGTCGAGGGCATAAACAACGAAATGTTTACTGCATGGCAAAAGATGGAACCCATTTAGAAAGTGATTACTGTAAACACCTTGCTAAGCCCAGTGGGCACAGAAAGTGCCGAGGAGGAAGATGCCCCAAATGGAAGGCTGGAGCCTGGAGTCAGGTGAGCGACGCTTCTCCCCTCCCGACTGCTTCCTTGCTTTCTGCAGCATGGCTGGCTCCGTGTGTGACTTGTGTTCTCTGCACGGTTTTGGTTTTCAGAGGGGAGCTGGGGACAGGGAGGGAAGGGCCTTACATTCAGGAGACTTCGGAGCTGTGTGGCCTTGGCCAAGTGGCTTCAACCCTTGGTGCTTTGCGTAACGCCTCCTATAGGGTGGTGGTGAGAATTAACTCTAAGTGGTGACAGATGTCAGACTTCTAGACCACAACAGCCCCTCAGTACTTCCCTGGTGGCACTTTTTCCTATTATTCAGCACTCAGAAAACCACTAATTCAGATCACACTGAAGTTGAGTGTGGTCACCTGGCAGAAGCTGAGTCTGAATTCACCCTGGAGGTCCTTGAAGAGAGAGCTTTTGATATTAAGTATCAGAGACTATTTCTCTGCCCGTTTACGTGCTTATAACGGGTGGGGGCAGGGGGAGGTGTTCTCAGCGTCAGTTTCTAGCTGAGTGACCTTGGGTGACTTCTTCAACCTTTCTGACCCTCAGATAATAACATCTCCTTCATAGTGTTCTTATGAGGATTTAATACAATAATGAATGCCAGGTGCTTAGCTCAGGGGTCTTGAGTCTAATAGACCCCCTCTAGAGTAAGATTTTGTTGGCTTGGATGAGTGTGCCGTGTGTATTGGATGGGGAAGGTGGGTGTTAAGTATCCAAGAAACCATTCAGTTAGACTCCTCTAACTCTAAACGCTGGTAATGTGGTTGGGAGCTGTGGATGAGCTTCCCTGGTGAACTTGAAGAAGGACCTTTAGAAGCTTCTGTTTCCCTGTAAATAATTGACATGTGAACCAAGGTCACTCTTATCTGGTCCTTAAGTAGCTCTTGTAATTCGCACTTGTACATTTTCTCAGCTTGGTTGAACGTGTTTACTTAAAAGTAAAATGGCTCAATTTCCTTTAAAATATTCTGATTTTAATGCTGATCCTTCTCTCCATTAATCTGGTTCAGTGAGGTTTCACTGTATTTCTGGTTCTCCTATGCAGTGGAGAATTAAAGAGATTACCCCTGAGGATCAAGGAAAACTAGGTTCAAGGTTGGCAGCCTGTAGAATTGATTTTTTCAGAGCCTGAGTCTTGACTCCTAAGGGCCGGAGAAGCTGTCATCGCAGCTATATTAACATAAGTAAGAGTTAAGAACCCTTAATTTTAACACAACTAGTGGAAAATTCCTCCAGAAACCTGAATTTTTCTTAAATGCTCCTGAGCTCTGGTGGCACAGTGGTTAAGCACTTGGCTGCTAACCAAAAGGTCGGTGTTTTGAACCCAGCAGCTGCTCCGCAGGAGTAAGATGTGGCAGTCTGCTTCTGTAAAGATTGCAGCCTTGGAAACCTTATGGGGCAGTTCTACTCTGTTCTGTAGGGTTGCTATGAGTCAGAATGGACTCAAGGACAGCGAGTTTTGGGGTTGGCTCCTGAGCGCCCATCATTGCCCCCTCTTCCTGCCCCTTTCCCAGCTATGTTCCACTTCATAGAATGTAAACCATGGCCTGTATCAGACCCCAGTAGAGTACCCTTCATCCCTCTCAAGGGCTTATCCTACCAGTTGCTGTCAAGTCGATTCCAGCTCATGGTGACCCCATGTGTGCAGAGTCGAACTGTGCTCCACAGGGTTTGGAAAGCAGATTGCCAGGCCTTTCTTCCAAGGCACCGCTGGGGAGATTTGAACCACCAACCTTTCCGTTAACAGTTGAGCCCTTAAACATTTGCACCACCTGGGGACTCCTCTATTATACTAAACCATCGATCATTTTTTTAAACAATAGAAGAATCTGTGCCTAGCCAGAGCTAGCTCCTCCTCTGGCCACCGTGGAGATCAGATTTCAGGGCTGCGTTTCCGACCGGTCATCCTTCCCAGTGGCTTATCTGAGTGACTGCTGTCATCTGTTAATTTCCCGCTTCTTTATTCCAGCACTTCGATTCCTGGGAAAGCCTGCAGCTAACGCCATTTAAGAGCCACACTAATTAGATTGTCCTCGTGCAGAGGTTCATGCTCTGCTGCTTTGCTTTATGTTCCTTGGTCTCCCTTATGTATTTGCATCTTGCTCTGAAGATTAAGTTCAGAGCATGTAAATGGTGCTCATTTTAAAGGGCAATTTATTCAATAAACAGACCATTAAGAGAATCTTTGGCGCTTTATTGGTAAACACAGGGTGAGTTTTACTCCAGAATCCTGTGATCTTGATGGGAAGCCCAAAATTGCTTACAAAGCTGTGATGATTGGGTTTAAACCCTGGGGGTTTTTATGAACAGAAGATAATAGGATTACCAGAATGCCTCCCCGGAAAAGACCGCACCTGTTCAAAAGGATTGCTTGGAAGAGTCAAGACACCTTTGTAGAAAATGCAAGTAAACACAGTTACGTAACGGTCTGCGGCCAGCTTCACAATGCCCTGATTTGATTTGCAGTAATGAATTATAAAAGCAGGGTAGAGAAGCTGTTGCATGGGTAAAATTCAATTTGTGCAATTTCCAAGTATACCCGAAAATAATCAGATGCCATGATTGGTGGGGAAAGCCCGTCTGCGTGATTAAAGGATATTAGCTGACTCGTGCTCCATTGCAGAGCCCTGGTTACGCAGTGGTTAAGAGGTCTGGCTGCTAACCAACAGGTGGGCAGTTTGAATCCACCAGTCGCTCCTTGGGAACCCTCTGGGGCAGTTCTAGTCTGTACTATAGGGTCTCCGTGAGTCAGAATTGACGCGATGGCACGTCGCAACAACAAATGATCCATTGAAGAACAGGACCATCCCTCAGGCAGCAATATTAAAGCAGAAGTAATGATTGTCCATTTGCACCAGTATTTAGAATATTTTCTGTCTGGTCCCTCTGTTTTCTGCTGTAACTGTGTTGTTGTCATCCTGTCTTCAAGTTAGGAAGAACAGTTTGCACAGTTTCTCACCATGTCAGAATGTCTGATGATACAAGACAGAGGGTATCAGGATAGACTGCTGTTGTCATGCTGAGCTTCATAGGCTCCCCCCTAAATTGGTATTTTGAGGTTTAAAGTGGGATGTTTCATTTCTAAATCTTTTGAAAATCTTGAATTTGTAAAAGAAATTAGCTTTTTATTAGAAAACATCATCACTAAAACCTTAAAAGGCTTTTTTCAAAAGCTCGCGTTCAATTTGTTTAGATGATTTTGCTCAAGAACTAGGGAATTTCTCTGAAATTTTAAAGCAAAAATCAGCATCAAATTGTTGATTCAGTTGGACAGACGGGAAGGCTCTGTATTCCCATGTTGTGAAAGCTTTCCGGAGTAAAAATTGTAACTTACCCTATACCCACATAAAGGCTTTTTTTTTTTTTTAATGAAGATCAGAAAGACAAAGGATTAATGGTCAGATTAGAATACCACAGTGGTACCACTTCATCAGGTCTGAACACTTCAATATCTGTGGTCAGGATGGGCCTTGCAATGAGTGAATGGGATGCCGTAGTTCCATCACAGCACTGCTTTCTTTGTTAGTCATACAAAAATAATACAGTCAGTGAGGTTTTAGATTTAATGAAATAAGAATTAATTTTTTAAACATTTTCAATGCTAATGCCCAAATGGAAGCTGGCAAATTGCAGTGAGCATCTACCAATCATTTTTGGCCAGGACTCTTCGTTGTCATGACATCTGAGCGTGGCTGTGGTGTCTGATTCTGTAGTATTCTTTCAGTGCTTGGTGGACAGGCCATGGCGTATGTGTAGCTTGTGCTCTTTGAGACGTTAAGGAAACTGTGCTCATGGTCAGTGATGAGAACGAGCATTGCTTTAGTGATTTCTGCTCTTCATTTGTTTGTTTGCATTGGAGCTGGGAGTGCTGATGGTGAATTGTTTGAATCCAGGCTTCTTACCCACACTCTTGCTGATACAGCACAAGGGACTGCAGCCTATTAGCGCTGTATGTTAACGCTGGAAGCCAAATTCTAATCCACAGTAGTCATGATACATTTTCCAGGGTGGAGTTTATTTTTGACTGTTTTGTTTTTGCTTGAGTTGGTGTGAGTGTCTTTGTTCTTTGCTTAGTTATGTGTGGTATCTGCCTAAAAGTTTTATTAGGAAGCATAAAGGTACTTAATGTAAAATGCTTAGCATAGGACAGGGTTCTCAGTGAGGGTTGGTGGCGGGGGAGTCATTTTGTTACCCATGGGACATTTGGCCATGTCCAGAGACATTTTGGAGCCTTGGTGGTACAGTGGTTAAGAACTCAGTCTGCTAACCAAAAGGTTGGCAGTTCAAATCCACCAGCTGCTCCCTGGAAATCCTACAGGACAGTTCTCCTCAGTCCTATAGGGTCGCTATGAGTTGGTATCGACTCCACAGCAGTGGGTTTGGTTTTTGGGGTTTGGACACATTTTTGGTTGCCACAACCCGAGATGGGGGTGCTACTGACATCTAGTGGGTAGAGGCCAGGGGTACTGCTAAATATCCTACAGTGCACAGGACAGCCCCCACAACAAAGAACCGTTTGGTTGAGAAACCTTGGCATACAGCCTGGCATATAGCAAATGCTTAGTATTATTATTATTGTTATTATTATTTATAGAAGCTGGATTTTATAGTTAATAATCAGGCTAGTCCCTCCTTTAGATTAATGTCCCCACCATAATTTCAGAGTAATACCAGAAGAAATTATGTAAAATTCTTTCCAGGTTTTCAAGTGTGTATTATGATTACACGAAGGGCAGAAGCTCCACAGAGATATCTGTGGAAATAAGCATCACTTTCCCTTTAAGTTGGTGAGTTCTCCATGCTGGCGTTGCACAGCAGGGAGTGGCCAGAGATGAAACAGCTCCCAGCTCAGTGGTTCAGAGCTAAACACATCTACTTCCCAACCTGCACCAGCAGGCTGCCAGCTAGGACAGCGGCCATGGGGGACTTGCCCAGATGTTTTCCTCTGCAGACTAACCAGATAGAACAAGAAACATTAAACACGCAGCACAACCCCACCACCACCTCCAGGGTCAGCAGAGGTCTACATGATGCTGTTTTATTCATGAGGTTTCTGCACAAATCACTCAGAATTCACCAAGCAAGCCTCTTGGGCTCCCATCTGCAAATTCTTGCCTCCCTCAAGACAGAGAGGAAGAAAAGTTGAGCGTAGAGAAGTGACGCGTATGTAGTGCACCTCATTTTGAACAAAGATTCCCGTAGGTGTGTTATTCAGAAAGGCAGGGCTTGTACTTTGCTGTGTATTTAAGTCATACTGACACTTCTGAATACATTATTTCGGGGCTGCTTTGATAGTGTTAAAATCAGATGCCAGAAAGACATATTATATAATCGAGCCTTGCCATGTCTTAATTATTCTTTTGAAAACTATCAAACATTGCAGGAAGTGATTTTCTTTATGCCCAATGCTTAGGGCTCTTAATACCTTGCCTTCCTTGAACCATACGTAATTTATTCAATAACAATAGCATCAAAAAGAAGTTTCATTGACTTGCTAGCCGGAACAGTGTTATAACTCTAAAAGTCTTTAACTTTTTTTTTCTGTTTTTGTTTATCTAATTAAAGCATTATAAGATTTTGAATATATATTAGCCCTATGCCAAAGTGAAATTTGTTTACTAAACCTTTATCGTTCTTTCTTTGTATTTCTATTTGGGTACATTTGTTCAGGAAATGTACTCTCTGGAATTTACAATCCCAAATTCAAATGGCCCAGTGGTGTTTTGGTGGTGGTTATTGTGTTACTGTTTGTTGATGGTGATGTTTGGGCATTTCTGTGATTCTTGTGGTAGGGTATGGCACGGTTCATTCTTCCCCAGTGTCGTACAAATGTGAGCATTCAGTGGCCGTTCCCTGTAGACAAGGCCTTCACTTGTACTCAGGAGCCCTCCCGTTATACTCTGGACATAATGACGTTAAAAGTCTGGTTTCTTGTGAGTCACAAACTCATTCAATCCAATTAATACACTTAAACCTGAACAATAGTAGCCAAAATATTGATCCAAAATATTTTCCTCACTTCAACCACCTTTGCTGTGAGCATTAGAGTTTCCTCCCTACCCCGGCTCATCGGAAACAATATAATTTCCCAAGCTGCCTTCCAAATGGTATCACCTATTTTCTTGAAATCTGAAATTAATACTCAGCAGAATTGCGTTTAGGTGTGCCTCTTGATAGTAAACTCCCATTAGCCTCACAGACATAGTAAATTCCTAGTTAGCCTGCTGCAGTTTAATTGAACAAGAATTTCTTTCTAATTTAAAAGAGCATGATTCTGTTCTTTAAGAAGACTTCCTCTGAAGAGTGTGGCTTTAATGCATGTTAAACTTGTTTTCTCAACACCAGACAAAATAATGGAGGCTGAGCTCTCACAAAAATTTGGTAATAATTTTTAATAGCTAAGTGCAATCGTATGGTGTTCTTTCCAGTCAAATGTTGCTTTTAGTTTCTGAATGTCAAAACCTTAATAAAGACAATAATTCTTGGCCTGCCTGTAAGATTATGAAACCCAGCAAAGAGGAAGCCTTGACAACATTAATTTAGAGGAGAGCTAATTGCAGATTTAATATGGTGTTCTACGAGTTGGTCAACAAAATGTTCCAGCGTGATTAACAGTACTTTTCAAGAGCTGAAAACATTGAGCTCTAGGAAAAGCTTTTTTTTTTTTTTTGTCAGCTTTTACTCTTCATATATTTATCTGAGGTTGTAAATAGACACAAATACTTCAGTGTACTCTGTGGTTAAAAACAAAAACTTCCCCCATCTCTAGGAATAATAGGAGCAAGAAACAGAAGAGACCGAAGAAAATAATTCTACTTAAAAGGCTCTAAAGTCTTTGCTGGGTTATACTTTTAATCTGCCAAGAAATTCTCCTTGTGCAATACTGTATCTCCAGTTTTCAAGAACCTCAAATCCTCCTGAATAGAGATCAGTTTGGATTTCCGTTTCACAAGGCAGTGATATTTCCCGATGATCTTTCCCACCCTATTCTGTCCTCCAGGAGTTTCGTTAACTTTAGCCATTCCCCCAAACTCCAGTGTTTCCTCACTGCCGACACTGATGGGCAGTGAGGGTCTGATTGAAGACATCCTCCTGGGTCTCTCTCACTGGGAATTAGAAATAGTTGGGGTGGCTCTGAAAATCACTGGGTTAGGAGTGCAGACCCCTCCTCTGTCACCCTGCCCACCCTCACCCTCCCCAGAAGTGACTGAAGCTCCACTTACGTGCCCTGTCTCCTTAGTGCTCCGTGTCCTGCGGCCGAGGCGTGCAGCACAGGAATGTGGGCTGTCAGCTGGGAACTCACAGAGCAGCCAGAGAGCCCGAGTGCAGCCCCTACACCAGACCCGAGTCGGAGCGCACCTGCCAAGCCCCGCCGTGCCCTCGCTACGTGTGGAGGGCAGAGGAGTGGCAAGAGGTAAGTAGAGGCACGAAGTGGTCAGGGCCCCCGACGTCATCTCCCGTGTCTCCTAGGAGGCGTTGAAGCCACCGAGCATGGGGACAGTGCTGGCTCTTGCCCAAAGCTTTGCTGTCAGGAGAGCATACTCAGAAAGGGTGGGAAAGTGCCTCCTTTTCATACAATTCCTGCGCCTGTGGTTTTGAAGCTCCAGGTCTGGCTGCCTCCAAGAAAACTTTAACAGGTCTTGGGCCAGATAACTTTCACAGAAGGAGGGGGAGACAGAAAGGACAATTTTAAATCTGTCTGTCCAGACGTGGCCCTTCTATATTAGCTTAGCCACAGGCAGACATTAGGTAGGACTTACTCTGTGTTTTGTCTCCTTCCATTACTTCAGCTGTCAGGTCGAAGATGGCTAGGCACTCCTGTGAAGTCCTGATTAATCAGCAAAGGATTTCCAACATTTCAATTAAAAAATGAGGTAATCTGTAGAAACTGCTCAGCAGTGCAGAAGTAGACTAGACTTGTTTTCCCCCAGTCCGAGTTAATGTTTGGTGAAGAAAAACAAAAGACCGAGTGTCCCTAGGGGAAAAGCCTGCTAAGAAGGTGAGACGTTAGTAGGAGGTGACCTTTGTTTCCAGAACGGAGATGGGATTGTAGAAAGGGGGAGAGAGAGAGAACTGGAAAGGTGAGCCATTTCCGCTGACCTTGGAATGAAGTGGGTCGTGTGTGCTGTTCAGGGTGCAGAGATGTGCATACTAAGACTGGAATCTCCCCCACCCCGTGCGCACACCCCGCAGCCCCCACCCCAGGAATAGCTTTCAGGACAGGAGAAAGGGTACCCGTTTTTGGAGCAGTTATGCTCTGTCTGGCCCTGTGCACATCACCTCACTGATTTTTACAGCTACCACATGAGGTGGGTATTATTATTGACCCGGTTTTGCAGGCAAGGAATTGAGTTTCTGAGAGTTGGTAGCACGTATCCAAGTGGCGCATTCCTAGCGAGTGGAAGAAGCAAGACTTGATCCGACATGGGTTCTCTTAAACCATTATGACATACGACTGCGCTCGTAGCTCTTGTCCTGCCCTCTCGCCCTCACCCTCCCCGTGAAGCCTGTCCATTCTTTGTGGTCATCTCTTTCCTTAGGGTTTTTACCCCCTCTGATGACTTCGTTCCTTTTGCTTGTTTTCCTTCTAGATTTTTTTTTTTTTTTTTTTTTACTTCTACTAGACAGTGGAAGAGGTTAATAAATAAAGCAATTGGATTTCCAGCTAATTGCCTTGAGCCCTTCAAGGTACTGGGATCCCCTAAAGACTTCCGAATTCTGCAGACCAGGTTCCTATCCCAGCACTGCCCTTTATTAGCCATGTGACTTCGAACAAGGATTCCTCACTGCTCGGGGCTTGTCATCTGTAGAATGGGTCTAATCACCACTATGCAAAGTTGTCCTGAGATAATCGGCGCTATGGAGGAAGACAGTTGTTTTTATGGCTTCCCTAAGCTCAGCCGTTCTCATCGGATACTTAGTAGGGGAAGAGGTTGAAAATAAAACACAGGCAAAGGTGAGGTTTGAAATACCACGTGTAATTCAGCTGTCTGGGCCACCCCTGTGTCCCGGCTCCAGGGATGGATGAAGGTGACTGTAATTGGAAGGCCCGAAAAGTCAGGGTTTGGCTTCCCCCTCGTGGCCGGGAGGCACTGCCAGTGTCCTCGCCTTTCTCCCTCAGGCACTGTTTCCTCGTGATTCTCTCTGTCGTTCTTGTTTCAGACCTACCATTGCCTGCTTTCTCCCTCTCCCTCTCCATGTCATGCCAGACTACCCTGTGTCACAGCTCCAGGGAGCCGAAAGTCAGAGAGTGTTTACAAAGGAATCTGAGCGCACTGCTCACGCTCTAGCCAGCTTTTGAACATGCTAGAGTCAGTCACAGAAAGACAAGCTCCATTTGCAATTCCTTCTGAATCCCAGAGAATGGAAACACCTTGCCACACACACACTGAGGAAATGCCTCTTCTCTGATCATGCATAATTTGTGTATTCCTCGAATATTTCTGTCAAACTCAGTGTCAGAGCAGAAGACATGAGACAGCCTGACCCACTCCTGTGTTTCAGAGATTTACCGGACATTAACCATTCACCCTGGGAGACTCTTCGGACGATGGGGAGGCAGATTCCAATAGTCGTCCTCCTGTAGACTGTTCCATGACACTGAGTTGGCAGAGTGAGGCTCAAGGCAGCTGGACGAGGGGGAAGCCCCATCAGAAGTTTTTATGTTCCCCCTATTCAAGGCATGCTGGGGGCCCTCTCAGGATCCCCCCAACAGCAACGAGCCTCAGAGTGAACGTTGCTAGCAGCTGAGCAGCCACCTTAAGAGACCACGTCCCGGAGATGGTGACTGCGTGTCCTTTGTCCTGGAGCAGTCCTCGTTTATGCCTGTGGTCCTGATGTAATTATCAATCGCTCCTACTTTCCCAATCAAAAGTGCCCTCGTTAAACAATAAGTGAGTGATCACTTGAAAACACGGTCCCCTTCCGGTTCCCCTGATGTCCCCAGGTGACACAAACAGTTTGCACTCAACTAAACCTAAAGGTTGTCGGTTCGAACCCCCCTAGTGGCTCTGTGGAAGAAAGTCCTGACAATCTGCATCTGTAAAGATTACAGCCAAGAAAACCCTACAGAGCAGTTCTACTCCGTAACATAAGCCCTCCATGCCTGGAGTAGTGTGATCATCAAGGATGTTTTGTGCAGATACACAGGTTGTACACGGCACAACTCCGGGGGGTCCATTCCCCTAGGGCCGCACTGGGAGGAGCAGTCCCTAGAGTTGTATAGTCCAGTAACCCTAATACTGATGGTGGTAAAATAATAGAGCTTATGGTTTATTAAGCTGTGGACCAGGCACTACGTTGAGTGTTTTTACATGGAGTACCTCATTTAACCCTTCCCAGAACTCTCAGATGTAGTAATTATATTTGATCCCCACTTAAAGGTGAGGAAACTTGGGGCTTAGCTAGGTTAATCCATCCAAGGCTGTGTGTTTAGTAAGTAATGAGGCTGGAATTGGAAGCCAGCAGCCTGACCTGCAGCCCACATGCCCTAAACCTTTCTGTCCCGCTGCCTCCCATGTCGACATGCCCCTCCAGTGAATTATTTTCTTTCCCTTCCGCTGGCTTGTCACACCTCTTCCTGCAGAGTTGGGATCAAAGTGGTTTTCCCTTTACTGGGTTTCCAGCCCCACCTCCTTGGTCCAGTTGGTTGACCGTCAGACCTTAAGCCATGTCACTCAGGGACTCCTGACGATGCCGGAGCGCCTCAGGGGGCAGCCTGTGTTCATGGTGAGGCCTGCTGGTGCTGAAGGGGGAAGGAGCCCCAGTGCCTCCATGACACCATGGAGGAGGGCCTGGACTTTGGGGTGTAGAGCAGAATAACTGGGGAAGGGCCAAGAGCTCCATCCAGGCATTCATGTCTCATTCTGTGTAAGCCCTGGAAGCAACACACTGCAATGAAAAGAGCTTTCCTTCAACGGCGATTAGAGCTGCCTGTGCGGCTCCGAGCACCGACTTCACAGCTCTCGGCTCCGCTTACCTCTTTGCAGAGTGGGAATTCCGTGTTGGACTTTGCTAAAGGTCAGAGTGAAGATTAGTGAGATTAAGTGAGGAGCCAGGGCACTGCTGAGCACATCTTAGGCTCCTAGAAAAGCTGCAGGGGCCCCTGATGGAGAGTGGAGGGGACCACCAGCAGTTCAGTTTATCCCGCACATCACAGCGGTGGGCTTTTAATGTCACCTGCCAACTTTGGGTGAGCTATTTGTCCACTCTTTGCTCGGTTTTGCCCATTTTAGAATTAAAATTCTCATGAGATTATTTGAAAATAAATTTAAAAGATCTTTTAATCTTTTACTATCATAAAGGATTTGCTTATTAATAGTACTAGTACTATAATCATATACATAAATTCACTTAGAACTGCAGAGATTTTTTTGATCAAATTTGAATTGTTGGTATATGGGTTATGCATCTCTTACAGTAAGGAATACATCTCGCAGGTCTTGCAAGTGTTTTTCTTTTCTTTACCTAGAGCATTCTCTTCCCTCTCTAGTACCTCTGCATCACAAAGTAGCTGCCCTGCTCCTTCCCTCACCTCAGTCATCCTTGCTCATCCTTTAGGGAACAACCAAGATGTCAGTTCCTTCCAGAAAGCTTTTGCGATCACACCTCCCTAATACTGAGTCAGATGCCCCTCTTGTCAGCTCTGATAATAATCTGAAATGACTCCTCTCCAGCTCTTAACACCGTGAATTATTCATCTGTTTTCCTCTTACATTTTATCAGCTGTTTGAGGTCAGGGGGCTTGTTCACCAGAGTTTTCCCAGCATTTAGCTCGGTACCTAGAGCACAGAAGACACCTGTTGAATGAATGAATGTATGAATGAATGAAGGGAGAGAAATAGGGAGAGAAGGAGGAAAAGAAAGAAAGAGGGAGAGAGAAAAAGAAAAAGAGAAATACCTGCAAATTGATGGCCTTTCTTCTTTAGCTCTTTAAAGACTTTCTGAAATGTCTCTTAGAACATTCAAGCAAACTCTTTGTCCTCTAAGAACAGCTGTTTATTTTCTTGTCACGACGCCATGGACAAGCTGTGCTCAGCTGTGTCTAGCCTTTGCAGACCTGCCAACCCCGTTTCTGTTTGGCCCAGGGCAGCTTGAGCAGCTCTAGGACATATTTGGAGTCTCAGGACTTTCACCGAGATCAGCTGTGGGATGATTCCCAAGTCCATCTCCTTAGCCCAGAGAAGTCAAAAACATGAGCAGGACCTCAGTCACTGGCTACAAAGATTTCCATGAAGTTTACAACAGGGAGCAATCAGATTGTGACGTGCGTACACCGCTGGGTATTAACGCTTTAGTATTCAGTCCCTCATTTGTATATTCCACCAGGCACCTACAGAGTGCCTGACCCTGCCTGGGCTGTGGGCATTCATGCAGCAGAGGATATGGAGCTGCTGCTGTGGGGTTCATAGTCCAGGCGGGAGACAGGCGAGAAAGAGGCAAACGAGCGTGCTGTGGGCACCTGGAGTTCCACCTGTGGAAAGTGCTGAGAGGGGAACCCAGGTGCTGAATGACAGGCTTTCCTGCCTCTCTCGGTGGTCAGGCAGTGAATAGCAAGGAAAGTGACTGCAGCTGGAAGGAAGAGCTTTGCACTGGCTTCAAGGAGGGACAGACCCCTCACGTGTGTGGACTCAGTGCAGCTGGGCAGGGACAGAGTGAGTGAGGGGACGAGAGGGTGAAATGAGGTTGGAGCTGCAGGAGCAGCTGGGCTGTGCTGTGCCCTGTAGGCCTTGGGAAGGGGCTGGATTTGCTCCTAAGCAGAGTTGGAGGTTTACAAATCCCCGTGACCTGGCCTTTGTCCACCCTCTTTCTCACAAAACCCTGTCTCAAATCTCATGCTGTAATAACCTCAGACTAAAAAAAAACCAAACCAGTTGTCATCGAGTCAGTTCTGACTCGTGGTGACCCCCCATATGTGTCAGAGTAGAACTGTGCCCCATGGGGTTTTCAGTGACTGATATTTTGGAAGTGGATCACCAAGCCTTTCTAACGAGGAACCTCTAACCTTTCAGTTAACAGCCATGTACATTAACAGTTTGCACCACCCGGCACTTCACTTCCCTCTCCCCACATCCCAGACCTTTCCCTCCCAGGACATTTGTTGCGTCTGTGCATCCATCCGGGCTGAGCCCCTCCTGGGAATGGCCTCTCCTCCTCTCCTTAACTGATTGCCCTAGTCACTCATCCACCTCACTTGTCACTACCTAAGCGTCCCGTTCAGCTGCTTTGACTCTGGAAATTTTCACCCCTCCTTCCCCTTCTCTCATGTCTGTCACATTTGCAGAAGGCACTGATGTTTTCTTACTCGATTACCCTCTCTATTATGAACAGAAAAAAAATAAACTAACAGTTGCCATTGAGTCTGCTAACTCATGGCGACCCTGCCTGCGTCAGCGCAGAACTGGGCCCCACGGGGTTCTCAGTGGCTGGTTTCTCAGAAGATGTTCAGGCTTTTTTTCCGAGGCATCGCTGGGTGGAGTTGAATCACCAAGCTTTTGGTTATCAGCTGAGCACTTACCGTTGGCACCACCTAGAGAAGTCTGTCCAGCTGGACCATGAATAAGGCAGACCAGAGACGAATCAATGCCTTTGAATCATGGTGTTGGCAGAGAATATTGACTATACCATGGACTGCCAGAAGAATGCACAAATCTGTCTTGGAAGAAGTACAGCCAGAGTGCCCCTTAGAAATGAGGATAGGGAGACTTCGACTCACATACTTTGGACATGTTATCAGGAAGAACCAGTCCCTGGAGAAGGACATCATGCTTGGTAAAGTAGAGGGTCAGAGAAAAAGAGGAAGACCGTCAAAAAAATGCATTGACACAGTGGCTGCAACAATGGGCTCAAGCATAACATCGATTGTGAGGATGGCGCAGGACTGGGCAGTGTTTCGTTCTGTTGTACATCGGGTCGCTGTGAGTCGGAACCAACCTGATGGCACCTAACAATGGCAACAGAGAGGTCTGTTAACAAACCCAGGTCTGTTCACATAATCTGACAAGGTGGCCCAGGTGTTCAACCCCAGTGGTCACTAGTTTTCCAGATGACCTGACACATGGGACCCTAAGCTGGCAATAACAGCCTCCCTGGTGTCATAGAAAGAGAAGGCAAGTAAGGAAACATCAGGCTGGATCCCAGGACCCTGCATGGGACATGGCCCATTGTAAATATGTGCTGAATGAAGGAAAGACTTTAAAGTTATGAAGTGTCTCCATATTTCTGCCTCCTTTTTCCTTTGCAAATACTGTTTTGGGGCAAAATTATCCAAATTCTAAATACCTGACTTTAAGAAAATGAGTTTTGGGAATAGAACCCATTGATAATTTGAGGACTGAGGTGTGTTTGTGTTTATTTGTTTTTTAATTTAAAGCAGGACTTTGAACTGGTTCATTTCAGTTCAAACGTTCTTATAGATCTTATAGATGTTAAAATGTAGATTCTGATTCAGTATATCTATAAAGCAGTGTTAGATAAATTGATTTGTAATTGCAGTTCTTTATCACGTTATAGGGGCAGTAGTTAAGTGGTCCATTGCTAACCAAAAGGTCAGCAGTTCGAATCCACCAGCTGCTCCTTGAGAACCCCATGGGGCAGTTCGCTGTGAGTCGGCATCGACCGACGGCAACCGGTTTGGTTTGGTTGGTCCTATTACTTACGCAGGTCATAGAGTTTTTCCTAAAAGCCAACATGAAATTTGAGAAAACCTTTTGGAAATTAAAGTGAATCTAGTTGAACTTTCCAGGGGGTTCTCTGTACATTGTAGATCCCATTCCAGGGCAGGGAAGGATGGTGGGGCAAGTATACCAAAAGCCACTGAGCCCAGTAGCACGGGCTGTTTGTCTTCTGATTATACAGCCCCTGTGCCTTAGTTAGGGTTCAGGACTCCAGGAGAAAATCTTACTATGTTATTTTCAGAGCTGCTGTTGACTAATTCTAGAGCTCTAGGGAAGTCACTCATTTACTTAGGTTAATTTTTCTAAAAGTTACGTTCAGGGTAAGTTTACCCAACTTCCTTTTCTCCATTGGCAGAACTCTGTCTGTTCCCAGCTCCCTTTAGCAGTTAACCATTCTTCCAGACCAAGGAGAAATGCTTACCAAGCATAAAGTATGTAGGGATCATTGCTATTCTGCTTTAAACTGTTACTTATTGATGAAGAGTAAAGCCGTGTGGGTTAGTGAAAACAAAGGAGGACATTGGAGGGTTTAATTCAGGTTTGGGTGCTCAATAATCATCATCTTCTCTGAGCCACCTAGCTACATGTTTTCTAAGGAATTAACTTCTCTAGAGCATTGCTTTTCTATAGGGAGTTAAGTATTTCTTCTGCACATTTCTATACATCCCAGATTAACTGGCTTTGGTTTTTTAAAACATCCAGTGGCTCTCTAGATCATTCGGCTTTTTTTTCTTTTTTTTTTTTAATGATGATAACAAAAACGCTATCATTTCACAATAGTTCCCAGCACACTCCAGGGGAACAGAAACCCCCAAGACCACACTGAGCTAGGGATCTGGGCTCAGCCAGGCTCCTATACTAACTTGAGGTGATTTGTTTCTCCATTCCCACCTCACGGTACTTGCAATTCATATTTGTACCCCAGATAAATTACACAAATAACTCTGCATCATAGATATTGAAGTTTGTTTTCAAGCAGCAGAAATCTCGAGCTAACTTCGCAGGTAATAAAGGGGTTATCTTAGTAAGGCTATACCAGCATATCTCTTCCATATCCTTAAAGAGCAAAGTGGCTCACCAAAGACATGGGGCATACCATATAACCGAGCAATTCCGCTCCTAAGTACATACCCAAAAATATTGAAATCAGGTGTTCAAACATGCACACGCGTGTTCATAGCAGCAGTACTCACAACAGTCAAAAGATGGATCTGGGGTCCAACTCTGAATTGCAAGTACTGTGAGGTGGGGAGGGAAGAGCAAATTACCTCAAACTAGGGCACGGTCAACTGTATTTGTTTACTTGTCTGTATACCCATTAAGACTGTGAGATCCCTGAGGGCAGGAATTACCAGAGAACTCATTTTTTTATCCCAGTTACCTAACAGCACTGTTCCTGGCATATTGATAAACTCTTCAATCCTCATTATTCATAGATTCCATATTATGAATTCACCTACTTGCTAAAGTTTATTTAACCCAAGATTGATACTCGTGGCGTTTTCGAGGTCATTCGCAGACATTTACAGAGCAGGGCACGTGCTTCCTGCTGAGGTGGAGCAGGCTGGCTCAGTACTCACTAATTCAGTGTTTGCGGGGACTTTTAGGACAACTACTGTGAACGAGAATCTGCTGTAGTAACGACAGTATGGTATCCTAAGTCATTGATTAGCCTTACATATCAAAGCCCACTTTGTCTGTCATGAACAGTGCACCAAGACTTGTGGTGAAGGTTCCCGGTACCGCAAGGTGGCGTGTGTGGATGAGGACAAGGGCGAGGTCCGCGCTGTGCACTGCGACGTGACCCAGCGGCCTGCCGACCGCGAGAGCTGCAGTTTACAACCTTGCGAGTACGTCTGGATCACAGGAGAATGGTCCGAGGTACGTCCTGGGGACTCTGCAACCACTGTCGGGTCAGCCACGGCCTGAGAGCAGCAGGTGATGAGGGCAGGATGCGGGACTCAGGCTGCCTGCAGTTCTGCCCTGAGTGGCTGCGGGCCTCACCGGGCCAGAGTTCCCACGTGTGCGGTTTGGGAGTGAGGTCTGAGAGGACCTCCATGGTCCCTTCACCCTTACCTTCCAGTCTGTGGGTCATCTTGATGTCCTGCTCGTAGGCTCAGGAAGGATTTAGTACAGGGACTGCAAATTCTTACGATGCCTGGAGGTGCCTGAAGAAGGTAAGTGGAAGAAAATATCTTAGAGTCAGGGAGACATCAGGGAGAGGTGGGGACTGTGACAGACGGGTTCGTGCTGTGTAAAGGGAGCAGGCGCTCTTCCACCCCATGAGAGGCCATGCAGAAATGAAGGCCCAGTGTTACCAAGTCTGATTTTTCAAAGGAAAGCCAAAAGTCTGGACTTTTATGTGAAATCTTCTGATTTCCAAATGTGAGCTCAAATTTTTTGGGTAAAACATTGTGTGGGCAAAGCAAACACTTCCATGAACCAGATCTGGATTGTCTAGTTACAAGCTCTGATCTGCAGGAACAAAATGATTTTTTATAAAATCCAAACACTCTCAAGGGCCTATTTTTTTCTTTCTTTTCTTCTCCTGCACTTGACTCCAACCTAGACACTTTTTATTATTAATAAACCAATAGTAACAATACCATCATTATATTATTTTCAAACCTCATAATCTTTCCAAATACTAAAAGACCTATAGCATCAAAACAAGCTGTCTTTTCCTACTCCCCCATGCCCCCCCAAAAAATAGAGCTGTGACAGGAAAGCCTCTGGGCTCATAGCAAAGGTGCTGGAGATTTTTAGGAGATGCGCTTGCTATAACCACGGTCACATCAGAGTTTGGCAGGGCAGCGTTTTCAGATTATAACAGGATGAACATTTGCATTTAGGTGACGTGTGTGTTGGGTGCTGAATTGTTTCCGCACTAAAGCTGGCCCTAGAGTCTTTTCTAACCACATCTCCCCACCCTCCACCCTAGTGGTTTTGCCCTTCTAGGGCTGTCTGACAGCGTGTAGACATGTGTTCGTTCGTCACAGCTTGGGGCAGGGTATGCACTGGCATCTAGAGGGTGAAGACCAGGATGCTGCTAAACATCCTACAGTGCACAGCACAGCCCCCACAACAAAGAAGTATTCACCCCAAAATGTCAGTGGTGCTAAGGTTCTTGGTGTGCCCTGAGTAGTACTACAGGCTCTTAAGGAGTGGAGGGGGAGACGTGATCCAGGACATAGACTCCTGCTGGCCAGCCAGGAACACGTGGGATCCAAATGAGCCTTCAGAACAGCCTTTACTTTGAGTTTGAGGCCTAAGTTCCAACCCCTTCAGATCCCAAGTGGGCCGGGGAGTGGGAGAGGATGTTGGGGGATGGCTTCTCTCTTCTCTTGAATTCACACCTCCCAGTGCTCACTGAGGGTCCCTCACTCCTGGTTCAGCCTCTCCTGCTTCAAAACTCTGATCTGAAATGGTTTGGGGAGGCTGTAGGCAGTCAGCGTTTTCACAGGGCTGCTAATGGGCATCTGTTCCTTGCGGCTTCTTTTCAGAGCTGTGGGCCTCTGAACACCCACCCTGACCATATTTGGGGCTTAGTCTCATCAGAAAACACTTCTTCCCCAGTGCTCCATCAACACAGTGATCCCTGGTCTGCCTTTGCTCCTGCTGTGTAGGGGCAACGGTCTCAGCATTTACCTTCTCCAACTTACAGCCTCGTTTGTTCTGTTCATACAGACCAGGTTACTACTATATGCAAGCCCCAGGGTAGACACCTTCAGGATACCCACAGCTTGAACAGACAGCGCTTGTTGGCCGGCTGTCCAGGCAGGCAGCACCCCGGGCTAGCCTCGCGCTCCCTGGCCTGCTGTAACGTGGGTCCTGCAGCGTTTGAACAGCGGCAGCCAAAGAAGGGAGAAATGTTCCAGAGCACGCCTGGGTCTCCAGCCAGCTGGAAGGGAAGGCTCAGGGCCACCCTGCCTCTGGCAGGGCCTGTTCCCTCCTGCCTCCAGGATCTCTCCAACGGGAGCCTTCTCCCTGCAAGGGTACGAGAGAGGGAAACCACGTGACTCAAAGCACAGCCCAGAAGGCATTAGGAAACAGGAAGCAATAGTTCTTAACCAGCCTTGAGAGCTGACGGGACCTGGGGCTCCACGGCCCAGACCCAGCACAAACCGCGCCCTGCACACTGTTTCCGGGACTCCGCGGCCCAGACACAGCACACACCACGCTGCACACTGTTTCAGGGACTCCAAGGCCCAGACCCAGCACAAACCACGCACTCACACTGTTTCAGGGACTCCGCGGCCCAGAC